TACAAGGGGACTCAGGCCGGCTACCTCCCGGAATCTGCTCCTCCTCTTCAGCTTCGGGCTCCGGGGTCGGGGGTTCCGGAATCTCCCCTCTGGCTTTGGCCTCCTCCCGGCGCTGGTCCCTCGCCAGCTTCCCTAGAGCCTGGAGCAGCAGATCGTCGTCTGTATGCGCTGCCAGCTCGAAGTCGGCCCCTTGCAGCCTCGAAAAGATGGGGAGGGTGGCCTTAACCCCTTCGTTATACCCCGCGGAGAAGGTGCTGTCGCCGACCTCGTACAGGAACTTGCGGGACAGAGGAGAGCCCTCAAGTAGCCGGACGCCGCGGGCCAGACGCTGGCGGGGCGGTATCTTCTCCAGAGCCGCGGCAAACAAATCGGCGAAGACTCCGGCACAGTAGTCTTTGGCAGAGTCCATGAACTCCCCAGTGTTCCGGTAGCCGGAGGTATCAACCAGCCACTCCGGACTGGCATCCTTCGCAACAGGGTGCACCGGGACAAGCTTGAAGCCAGCTTTCTCAAGGCTGACCAGCTGCTGGCGGGATTCTGCCCGCAGGGCGGCGATCTCCTTCCCCTTGGCCGCAGCCTCCGCCTCAGCTCGGCGAGCGGCCTCCAGGGCCGTAGCGACGGCCGCATCAGCCTTGGCCTGGACCTCCCTCAGGTCAGCCTCCCTGGCAGCTTCAGCTTGAAGGACTAGAAGCCCGGACTGGATGACAGGAGGAAAAAATGGTTAGAAGATGAACGTCAAGAGAAAGATGTGCTCAGATCTGGCAAGGAAGGGATACCTGAAGAGCGGCGGCCAGGGCAGCACTGGTCGCCTCAGACGACGAACGGCGGGGCAACTCGAGACCAGCCTTGAGGGCCATCTCCCTCCAGAGGTCTTCCGCCGGGCGGCTCAATGGCAGAGAGCCGGCGTCTTCGAGCAGAGGCCCGGTGGAGGCCGCCTCACGGCCCCTTTTCTGTTTCTTCTCAGGGGCTTTCTCCGCCCCCTTCTGAGGAGCCGCCTTCGTGGGGACGACCGGCGGTGGGAGGGCAGCTTCGAGAGCAGGGGCCCCAGAACCCTGGGCCAGCATAGTGGCGATCAAGTGCTGCTCGCCCTCAGCAGTTCGTCGGGCAGCGTTAGAGGCCGAGGAGTTGGAATCCGAGGCCGAGGCGTTCTTGGCTTTCGCCATTGCGGCTTTGGCAGCAGCCGCCTTGGCCTTCCTCGTTTTTAGACACTCAACGTGATTCATCTGAGCTCTATCTGGCGGAGAACCTGCAGGAAGATAATAAAGGGTTAAAAGACGAACAGAGAATGCAAAGGACACTCACCTCGAAGGACAGGACCGCCCGGTGCCCCGAGACGAGCGTCGAAGGGTGGAAAAAATCCAAGGACACGGGCGGTACCTATGCCTGCCCCCGAGAGTGCCTCGAAGGTTAGATAGCCAGCTATGGGGCGAATGCCGCCCTGCAGGACGCCTTCCACGGCCTCGCTCAGATCATCGGTCAACTCCGGCGACTCTATCTTCGGGGGGTAGCCATTCCAACGAACTGGGAGGGGAGGACCATCATAGCGAAGGAAGAAGAACCGGTTCTTCCAATCATGAATGGAGGAGGGGTAGCTCTTAAACAGCCTCCTCCCCGGACGAGCGGCCACGCTCAGATATCCGTCGGAGTTCTGGGGAGTGATCCGGAAGAAGTAGTGGAACAGACCCAGGGTGGCATCGACTCCCGCAAGCTTGCAGCGCACCAAGAAGGCCGATATGAACCTATAAGAATTTGGCATGAATTGCGACGGGGCCACTTGGAAGCAGTGGAAGAACTCCACATAAAATGCGTGAAGTGGAAACCGCAGCCCGGCTTCAACGGAGTCCAAGTGGAGCATGATCATCCCCAGACGTCTCCTCATCACGTGCTCGGCGCCTATCACGCTCCAGACGAACGGCGGGGGGAAGAAGGTGCGGATTTTGTTGAGGGCCACGCGGGAGAGGACTTGATCATGGTCGAGGGCGCTTCTGATCGGACAGATGTGGCGCTCCATGTCCTTAGGGATGCCCAGATCGTGCACCTCCATGTCGGAGCCTGATTCGGCCTCCTCCCCAGAATCATAATCGGCAGGACGCTCATTCAAGGGGACTGCGTCGATAACGTCTACTGCCCCGTCAGCATTTCCACCCCCGGCATCGCTCCCACTGCCTTGGGAAGCATCATCCGACTCACCATCAGCCCGGATGGTCCCTACCGTCGTTGCCGAACCAGAGGTCCCAGAAATGCTGGCCTTTCCCGGGGAGCGTGCATCCACATTATCAGAAGAGGAGTCCGAAGAGGAACCCGACGAACCGGAATCGGAACTTGACGAAATCTCCATCGAAGTCATTTCAGCGAGAAATCAAGATAGAAAAGGAAGCAGAAGGGAAATTACCTTACGAAGAGATTAACTGAACTCAGAAACCGTGCAGAGAACTCGAAGAACAGCGGAGATTCTAAAGCAAGGGAGCAGAAATTGGGAACCCTAGTTCAGGGGGAAAACCCGGCATTTATAGGGGGAGCACCGTTTAAGAGGCCAACGAGGGGTTGACACGTAGCAAAGAGCGTGGTCCGGCCCACGCGCCGTGCGTGGGATGGAAGCGCAATGATGACACTTCCTCGGGAACATGCATCGCCGCAACATCAGCCGTCACCTCGTTTCCTGAACCGTCGACAGCTGTCAAGCACCATGACCACGAGCGTACGCTTCCAACGGGTGCAGAAAACACAAGTATCAAGACACGAACGTCTACCTTGAGGGAATTCCTACTTCCTTATGTCCTGCGCAAGCCCAGAACATCAGAAGTGGGGGACTTGTGTTGGGTTAAGGGCCCAAGCCGAGGTCCGGCCCACTAACCCATTTTGCCAGACGCACGTCCAGTTAGAACACTAGGCCAGCCCACAGGCCCATGTCCCTTGAGGATGGATGAACGTCTGGGGTTGGGGGTTCAGGCCCAGCGGCTCATCCCGACGAACGTCAATGTAGGGACAAGGAGCAGGGCCACGGGCCACCAGGGATGACGACGAACGTCCCCATGGCAAGCCTATAAGTCATCGGAGGAAACCCAGTCCACATGGTGAATATCTATAAGGCCAGGAGACGAACAGCCGGTATCTCCTGAGGGTCACTGGGGCGATCCAACTCATTACCCGGGCGGACGAACGTCCCCACTGATTGGGCGGGAAACCTAGATTCTGGCGGGAAGTGCATTTAATGCTGAAGATTTGGTGGTTGGGGCACCAGCGGTCCACAGGCTGCCACGTCAGTATAGCCACCTGCCCATTGGCGGGTATAAATAGAAGCATTTATTTCATTGTAAAGGGTTGACAACTTTCTATTCTTAGCATACTAGCTTCAGCATCCTTACTTGCAGCACTTCTAACTGCCTTGTAAGACGAACGGCCGACGTGCCTTTTTAGCAAGTAGATTGTACTTAGGGGAGTTATTACGAAGTTAATAATACCTATTTACATTGCCTGCTATTTCTCTTGTTTCCTGATCCATCTGAGAGTTGTTGGGCTAGATATTCATACACTCACTCCACTCGAAATCTTTGGGCTTACGTGTTGGGTCCAAGGGTTGAAGGAATAAACCTCAACACACCCCATATGTATTAATTAATTAAGCGGCACTTTAAACTTTTCAGTTTTCCGAATTTACTCTTACCCCTACCTCCTCTACCCACCCAACCCTTCTACCCCACCTTTACCTTACCCACACCCAACCGACCCCACCCACCCTTCCCTTGTCCCCTACCAATACCCTACCCCTTATGCCCACCCCGACCATACCCCTTACCCCTACCCCCCATACTCGTACCCCTTCCCTTACTCCAAACCCCCACACCTATCCATGCCCCCTACGAGGTATGACTGGGGTAGGGGTAGGTCAAGGTTTGGGTCGTGGTAGGGGGTAGGGGTATGGTAGGGTATGAGCATGGAGGGGTTAGGGTACGGGGGGCAGTAGGGGAGTAGAGGTAAGCGTAGGCCCCAATGTAGTATATATATATACTTGTGTATACACGAATGTTTGTGTACCTATATATGTATAAAGTTATTTGGACATTTAATGTTAAACGTTGTTTTAAATCATGTGAAGTAACATGAGCATATAACACTTCTTAATTTATACACCGCTTATTAACTCAAGTCTTAATAAGCACTACTTAGTAACCTACGCAGTAAATGTGTGCTAAGTCACATATTTATCCACCACTTTTCCAGGAGTATTATTATTGAAATTGTTTCTTAGGATGTTTTCAGTCTCAGACCCGATCAGACCAGACCAGACTTAAACAGACCAGGCCAGATCGGACTTTGATAGTTATAAAATACACAGAGACCAGACGTTTACTAGACCAGACCAGTTCAGACCATACCAGACTTAAGCAGACCAGACCAGACCAGCAAATTTCAGTCCAAAAGAAAACATCCTTACTAGTACTACCTCCGTCCCTTTTATATTGGGACGGAAAGGGTGACACGATTATTAAGAAAAGTGGGTTGGTGTGGTTGATATTAATTGATAAAGTAAGAATAAACTAAAAATGTTTTAGAGCCACACAAACTTTACCAATTATGATATGATACAATTTTAGTGGGACTTTCCGAAAAGATAAAACAGGATAATAAAATTGGGACGAAGGAAGTATATAATAAAAAAGAGATATTACCCGAAATAGGACTAAAAGAGTTTGAAAATTCCAAAATAGAACTGCCATGTTTTTATTCCTAAAATAGGACTAATTACTGCCATGTTTTGGCAGTATCAGACTTCAAACATGACAGTATTTTCCAAACTTGGCAGTAATTACTCCTATTTTGGGAATAAAAACATGATAGTCCTATTTTGAAATTTTCAAACTTTTTAAGTCCTATTTCGGGAACTTTCCCAATAAAAAATCAATCACTCTACTAAAGTTGAATCCAAGTTGATACGGAGTAATATTTAAGGAAAAAACTATTTTAATTTTGATCGATCTTCTTTCCGTTTAACATTTGCATAAAATAAGGAAACTGATTCTAAAACAAACTTTGAGACTACTCTGGAATTGCCCTAAACTAGCGAGGCATTTGTGAAGGGACAAGTCTCATTCCTCTCGGCTCCTTTCAGTATTGAAAGTAAGAAAACGACCGTTTCCTCCTCTGTACATCCCACATCTAGCAATACACCCTGGACGAGGGCCTGCACCAGCAACGCTTAACAATAATCTGGTTTGTGTTTTATGTTCACTGTTCAATTCTTTTCTGGGTTTCAAATGGCAAGAGATAGTGCTAGCAATGGATCGCCATCTCACCAAAGAACAGGTCTGTTGAAAGACCAAGTCCGGCTGGTTAAGAAAAAGAATTCTGATAGATATGAGATTGCCCCAATAACGGATGCCCTGTCATTTGAGAAAGGATTCTTTGCTGTAATCCGGGCTTGCCAGCTGCTGACTCAGAAAAACGATGGGATTATATTGGTTGGAATAGCCGGACCTTCTGGAGCCGGGAAGACCATTTTTACGGAGAAAATTTTTAATTTCATGCCAAATGTTGCCGTTATTTCAATGGATAATTATAATGATGCAACTCGGATTGTTGATGGCAACTACGACGGTAATGAAGAATTTTTACCATTGATCTTTTCGTAGTTCTTTGTGAAAACTAAATCTGTGATTTTTTTGTTCCTTGAAATCTAGTCTTTTTTTAGTTGATAATTTTTCCATAGTTACTGATTATCATTTTTTGTATGTATACTGATCGTCTGATACTATATGTTTATGAAACAGACCCACGGTTGACAGACTATGATACTTTGCTCAAAAACATTCATGATCTTAAGGCAGGAAAACCTGTTGAGGTTCCAATATACGATTTCAAATCAAGCTCCCGAGTAGGATTCAGGTTAGGTTCCTTCATTTTATCTTGTCTTTTGGTGCAAACTGTATTGTATTGTGTAAACATTTTGAAGATACTAGTTTGGGATCGGATAATTGCAAAAAGTATGCATTTACATTCTTAGGCTCTGGAGTAGCCCAAGATATCTTCTTGCATTTGTTATCTTCCCTTCAAATAATCTTGAACCTTTATTCTTGTTGAGTATGCTACATCTGTTGTAGACGTTCTTGTTGAGTATACTACATCCGTTGCCCTTAGACTTTGAGTCTTAGTATATGAGTGTGAAGTAAACCTTTCTATTGAAGATTATTTTGGGGTGACTTAGACTCAATTCAACATGGTACTGAACTCTGGTCTGCTAGTGGTGTGTGGGGTGATCGCTCATTTAATGGTTTCGGGTATCTCGTTTGGGTTAGGCTTGGGCCCATTTGTTCAACTCTTCAGTTGTAGAGTCTGATTTGGGCTGTAGGGTGTTCAGTACCAACATCGATGGCCCTTCGGGTTTGAGTCTAGAACTGTATGTTAGTCTTACATAAACTTCACCTCTTGAAGACCCTTTTGTGGTGTTCGATGTTACACTGATTTATTTCATTTCAATCCATAACTAGATCTTATGTTTTATTCACTTGTGGCAGGAGTCTTGAAGTTCCTAGCTCACGCATAGTGATTATAGAGGGGATCTATGCTTTGAATGATAAACTGAGGCCTTTACTTGATCTTCGAGTATCAGTCACTGGGGGTGTCCATTTCGATCTAGTGAAGCGAGTGTTGCGCGATATTCAACGTGCTGGTCAAGAACCCGAAGAGATAATTCAGCAAATATCTGAAACAGTTTGTTCACCCTAACTCTTTATGAACCCCAATCATTTATAAAATGTTTACTTTGAATTATTCCTACGATGTAATATGTATAAAACCAAATGCAGGTTTATCCAATGTACAAGGCTTTTATCGAGCCTGACCTACAAACGGCGCAAATAAAAATAACCAATAAATTTAACCCATTCACTGGGTTCCAGAGTCCCACTTATATTCTAAAGGTAATTGCATCTTTAGGTCTTGCTCAGTTATTTCCCTCATATTAACAATATCCTGAAAGAGTTCAGATATAGGGTTTTGGAGGAGATTGCTTTCAAGGGATTAATTTATATCTTGATATATATTTTAGATTTTGCAGAAGATGAGGGAGTAACATAATCTGTGACTGTAAAACATTTCAAGCACTTTATATTTGTTTTACATTTCAATATCAAGATATAGTGGAAGACTGCCGAAGACTTCCCTCCAAAACTCTCCATCGAAAAAGACCGTAAAGAAACCTTGTAACCTAAATCTTAATGCTCTGCAGTCATCAAGGGATGTGACAGTAGAAGTGATCAAGTCATCATTGTCGGAGGATTATGTAGAGAGTACAGAAGAGACATATGATATTTATCTTTTGCCACCTGGTGAAGATCCTGAATCATGTCATTCATACCTGAGGATGAGGAACAAAGATGGAAGATATAATCTCATGTTTGAGGTGTGCTTAATGACAATATTGCTTTGTTCAAACCGTGATTGTATATTTAATTTTTATGTTACAACTTACAAGTGACTTGAACTTAAGCTATGTCATAGTCGGAACTTTTATATAGCACTTCCATGTGTTGCATCTACAAATCATTTTACTAGTTGGGCTGTAGATATATAATTCTCAGACTATGTTTGGAACATGGAAGAGGTAGGACAAAGGGGGAAGTGCTGGTTTGTTTTTTCAATATACTAGTATTATTTTACATTGGAAACTGAAAATTGCTTAGAACATTTTAGAATTATATATATATATATATATATATATATATTTATATTCACTACTCACTAGTCTTAAAAATAGATTGAAATATATAAAAAATATGCTTGAACAAGTATTTAATATTTTTAATTGAGGCTGAACCTTTTTTATTTTTTCCTAAAATTTTGTTTCCTCCCAAATTTCTCTTCCTACTTTCTCCTTGTTTTATTTCTCAATCATGTTCTGGGTAAATGGTGATGCAAGGGTAATGAAAGCTTGAGAAGTTGGAAGCAGTGGTTGTGTTTAACATTTGTCATGCATCTAAAATTGCAGGAATGGGTGACAGATTCTCCATTTATTATATCACCAAGAATAACCTTTGAAGTAAGTGTGAGGCTTCTTGGTGGATTGATGGCTTTAGGGTACACAATAGCAGCAATCCTAAAAAGAAGCAGCCATGTGCTTCGTGATGAAAGGGTCTGCATTAAAGTTGATTGGCTTGAACAGCTCAAGCGTCAATATGTGCAGGTACTACTATTCAAATTATACATGATGAATAATTTGACAATTTGTTATAGAAGTATAAGAGCTATACTTTATAACAAGTAATACTTCAAATTTTCACAACATATGTTTAGTTGGAGAGTCTTCTACCTGAGATTGGCGATTTGGTGAACAGTTAGTTTTAAAAAAATATGGATTTGTAAATAATGAGTGCGATCTCGGGAAAGTTCTCGAAATAGGACTAAAACAGTTTGAAAATTCCAAAATAGGATTGACATGTTTTTTATTCCCAAAATAGGAGTAATTACTGTCATGTTTGGAAAATACTGTCATGTTTGAAGTCGGAACTGTCAAGACATGATAGTAATTAGTCCTATTTTGGGAATAAAAACATGGCAGTCCTATTTTTGAATTTTCAAACTTTTTTAGTCCTATTTCGGGTAATATTCTCTTTCATCTCTTTAGTATTATACTTATATGATTTCTTAATAGGATTTTATTAGAATTATCTAGTGTTCACCCAAACTAAATCCCACATTTAACACCATCAACACAAAAGGTCCGTTATAACCTTACATTCAAAGACCTATAATTATCTGGTAGGAGTGAATGCTAGGGTAAAATGGTCCTTTTGTGTGGCAAGTTGGGAGCCTTTGCGGCACTGGGGTAAATGATGATTGATGATTGATTAGTTCAGAAACTTTGTCAAACTTGATCGTTGATCCTTTGTCTTAGATTTGGAACGCAGAACATATCAAGAAAAGAAAAAGGATGAAAATAGAGATGAAATTGAAATGAAAAAATGTGTGTGGGGAGGGATAAAAATTGCTTTAAGCTCAGTAAGTTGATTTAGATATTTGTTAAAGTTCATTATATCTGTAAAACTTTAAAAATCTTAATCAATTTTGATTTTCCTGTTATTTTTCCAAGTAAAACCAAATATGAACAATCATTTTCCTTCTTGAACAATCATTATATGGTTGTTGACTTGTTGTTGAAGAGTGTAGGCAATTTCAGTTCCCAATTTCTGCTATCTGTTTTGGTATGAATTTCTAAAGAGCTTTAACTAATTAATATATACGCTTTAAGGTCCAAGGAAGAGAACGTTTGGTTGTGAAGTCTGTTGCTGATCAGCTGGGTCTGGAAGGTTCCTACATCCCACGCACATATATTGAACAAATACAGCTAGAAAAGCTTGTGAACGAAATCATGGTATACGTCCTGCAACTACAATAAACTATTAGACATGGTGCTTTCTCCTAATACATTGAATTATGTGGTTTCCTGATCCTATAGTAAACTTTTGCTAGGTGTTACCGGATGATTTGAAAACAAAGCTTAGCTTAGATGAGGATCTTGTGTCCAGCCCTAAAGCTGCGCTTTCGCTTGCGTCAGCTGAAATGTTGGCATCCCGGAATAAGAAAATCCAAAGGTCGAACTCTTATCATTACTCATTTTCCTTGGCACTTACCCCCTCGATTGTAGCTTTTAGTGAACAAGACCCGATATGTGGGAACTGGGAATGAGAATTGGGAGTTTGAGAATTGTAGTTTAAGAATCCCATTAATAGAGTATTGCTCCCTTGTTTGGTGAGTATTGGGAAGAGATTTAGAATAAATGATGTGATATTAACGAATCATTTACCCTATCAATAACATTTTGGGCATTCTATAGCTCTCCCAATGTTTCCTTCATTTACTTGCACGGTACAAAATATATTTGGGGGACTTAAGGTCCACTAACGCCCACCTCTTATCGTTAGAATTCTCACTCCCCAAAATGATACTCTCTTCGTCCTATTTGTTAGATAAATTTCCCTTTTGACCTGCATCAAAATAATGAAAATTTTCCTAATTTGAAGTCCGGTCATTTTTTACTTTTCCACTTTTACCGTTTTATCTACCATTTCAACCTTTTACTTGTTCAATCATAATTGAAATCACGTTTTCATGAACTTTTTTTGTACATGAAAGTTGTTTGTTTTAATGTGCTTGTGTGCAATTGGGGGGTCTTGGTATTCACACAAACAGGGACAAAAGTATGTCCAAAGATGACCGGTATTCATTGACCTTCCGGAAGCTTGATAACAGGACTCTACCATCAACATTAGCAAACCAGGTGACATTCACACGCACAAACACTCTCTCTACCAAAGAGTTGAATGTACCTCTTTCATTTCTAATGTCAACTTATTCTATTAGGGAGCTATTGAGCATCTATCAGAACAGATTTCAACATTGAATGACCGAATGGATGACTGCACTTCGAGGATGGAAGAACTCAGTTCGAAACTAAGCAACCGACGACGAAGATCTCCTAGTAATCCCAAAAATTCCACTGCCCAGCAATCTGAAGCCTGCAATGGATCTGCCCCCACTTCTCACTTCATATCCGGTTTGGAGAACGGTTCCTTGACTAGTTCCATTATGCCTCATTCTTCGTCATCATCCCATATTGCCAGGGATTCCACTTTCTTGGAGGAGGTATCGTTAACCATAAAAAACTCTTTTTTTAATCCTATTCTAGAGTTTTGATAGATGGTTATAGCAATTTGGTTTTTAACATTTTGTTTGGAAACAGCTATCTAGTATTGCTCGGAATCAGCGGCAGATTATGATTCAACTGGGAAACCTGGGCACTCTTCTCAGTGAGGGGCCGGGTCGTGGATCTCATCAAGATAGTACTAGCCAGCAGCATAGGTTAATTGCTGGGCTTGAACCGGTCAAAGTCTATGTTCTCTCTGCTTTAGCAGTTGCTGGGTGTGGAATCTTGCTACTTAGGAGTTTTCGACATTGAAATTGAAAACAAGAAATAGATCTTGCTCTAGCATAAGTGCTTTTTCTTTGACACCTCTATTTTAGTTGTGGTGCTGCCCTTCTCGTCGGGAAAAGAATATTTTTTAGACAATATACAGAAAACATATTTATGCTCTGTTATGAGATTTACTAGAAGAGAAGGGCAAAAACTTTTTAACTCTTTTTGGGGAAATTCCTACAGTTTAATTCTTTCCACATAATAATGTTTATTGATGTAGCTTTATGGCATGACTCCCTCCCCTTACCCACCTCCCTATTTATCATAAATGGTTATTAAGAGTGGTAGATAACGGTATAACACTACATTAATCAGTTTATGTCGCTTTCGTGAGCAATGGGTCAATTTTTAAATTTTGTCTCGTCAAAACAAGCCCTAAGAGCAACTCCAATGTAAGAGTGTGGTCTCTTCCACATCCTTACGCATTGGTCCCATTTTTTATGTGTAGGATCCACGTATTTCTTAATTTGTTTTCATTTTCATTTATTTACATCACTTTTAATTCACTTTTCATCAACTTTTCTTCCTCGAATCCCGTGTAAGGTCCATATATTTGTCGTAGATCTTGGTCCATTTTTACCCTCTCTCTCTCTCTCTCTCTCTCTCTCTCTCTCTCTCTCCTCTTTTTCATTTTTCCCTACACACCACTTCATCCAAATATTTATTCTATATTTATCTCTCTCCTATGCCACATCAACTGTAATGCACCCTCCCATTGGAGATGCTCTAATATATATCCTAGACGTTGTTTTACATCCTAGACATCTATTAATCTTTACTTGAGGATTGGATTGGGCTGGGCCTGGGTGGGCTTTGGAACTAAGAAAATCATGCTCGGTACCGGCCTAGTTTGTACCGGTATTAGTTTCTGTCCAGGTTCGGGTCCGGGTCAAGTTGGGCCTTCACTATTTTTTTTGTTCATTTTTTTTGAATTAATTCCAACCCCCCACACACTCCACCCCCTAAACTCCCCCAAACCGCCCAGCCCCACCCACCTAGCAGCCAAGCATAATGGGGGAAAAAATTAATTGGTGACCGTTAGGCCCGGGCTCAGTCAGGCCTGGCCGGTCCACCAAAATAGGAGCCTGAGCCCACCTCCCTTTTCCATCGTGCTGGGTACCGGTCCCGGAAAATCGGGCCGGGTCGGGCCTAAGCAGTAGCGGGTCGGGCCGCCCGGGCCCGGTCCATCCCTAATTACATCCAATATTACTCCATAGTTGTTGCCTTTGTATTACTAAACACAACAGTGAAAATATATGTTTTGTTGTTGAAGAAACGAGATCATGATTCGGTTATGTTGTGTGAAAAAAGTTACTGATATCCTTCCTCTAATCATGTCATTGGAAAACCGGGATCATGTTTTGCAAGTATAAATGTATATCAATAGTATATACAGATTAGAAACTATTGTGAACAATGTTCTAAAAGGCGTTAGGTCGGGCGTCAGCCAAGCGTCTAGCGCCAGCCAAGCATCTAGCGCCTAAACGCCTTGCCGGAGAGTAGTTGGAGACACATATATTGTATCTTTTATCAATGTAATTACATAAATATGATAAGTAATACATAGTAAAACAGTAGTATCTTGTTTGTGTGTGTGAAAAATATATATACACACATTAACATGCATGAATGATAGAATTGTCTCATGATATAATACATGATAATTAATCACTTAATTACATTGTGTTATAAATATTAAATAACAATAATAATAATAAAATTCAAGTATATATATGAACAATATAGTTTTTATCATACTTTAGGATTATCTTTTCTTTATATTCGTGATTAAAGTTAAATCATATATATCTCTTACAAAAAGAAATTAAAAATAAAATATTATTTGACAAAGCTAGATGCTCTAGGCGGAGATTAGGCACTTTGGGCGGGCAACTAGGCGCCCTAAGCGACCAACTAATTCACCTAGGCATCAAACCAATTATTCGGAGCGCCTAGACAAAAACCGCGGCACCCGGCCACCGTCTAGCGCCAAGGTGGGGACTAGTCGGGCGTCTAGAGCGACTTTTAGAACAGTGACTCTGTATAGGAGTAAACACATTTGTAAATTTTAAAAAGAATTATTACGGTTTTATTCATTGACTTATTACTCTTATATTTTGGACTTTAAGTATAACATAGGGAAGACAGTCAATTTGGTCCTTCTACTATCATGAAAAAGTAAATTAAGATCTCGTACTTTAAAAAAACCAGTCAAACCCTCGAACTTTGTAAAAAAGTTCAATTGATTCCATTTACAGGTTATTTTCCATATCAGTAGGTTATTTTCACCACGTCATCAGCAAATGACTGACTGGACTACCACATGTGCGCAACACCAGCAAAGTCACTGCTGATTGATCTGCCAAATGTGTGCCACGTCAGCGGATGACCTGCTGACATGACAAGTAACCTGCAAATGAACTCAATTTAACGTTTTGATAATGTTTGGGGATTTGATTGATTTTTTTAAAGTATGAGGATTTAATTGACTTTTTCGTGATAGTATGATGACCAAATTGTTAGTTTTTCTATAACATATGGTTCAAACTTGACAATGATTATTCTTATTTAAATAATGGAAATATAATACTTCTATTTTGAAATTCAAAAGCGTTTTACTCATATTTTAAGAATTTTTCCTATAAAGATTTTGTTGGGTTAATGGCCCAATTAGAGGACCGGCCCATTAACCCAGGACGGTCGTCTGGGCCCAACAAGGCAGCACATCAAGACGAATGTACAATGGGTCATGGATCACGCCTAAGGCCATCAAGACGAACGTCGGCATAGGCGACCCACAGTTCAGAGGGGGCTCTACCTGTGAAATAATGGGAAAGGTTCTCCAATAGGGTACCTGGCAGATAAATTTATATTGAAAAGAGTTTCCAAAGATACATAGGATTCCTAATTTAATATTAGTCTATTACACCCCCTCAAACTGTGCGGGAGATACAATGCGCAGGTTGTCTTTTAAAAAATGAAATTGCTGACTAGAAAGACTCTTAGTAAATATATCTTCTAACTGAAGACTGGTGGGCACATATTTAACGACAAGATCACCATGAGCCACACATTCACGAACAAAGTGATAATCAATTTGAATATGCTTGCTCCGAGCATGCTGAACAGGATTTGCTGTCAAGTATGAAGCAGAAATGTTGTCGCAGAATAAACGAACTGGTGCGTGAACAGGGAAACCGAGCTCGAATAGGATAGACCATATATGAAGTGTATCTTGCACTGTGTATGCAATCGCACGATATTCTGCTTCTGTAGAGGATTTAGAGACAGTGGGCTGCTTTTTGGACTTCCAAGAGACAAGATTGGGTCCTAGGAAAATAACAAAACCGGTCGTGGAACGAGAAGTGTCAGGACATCCAGCCCAATCTGCATCTGAGTAGGCCATAATACAAGTCACCTTAGGTGTAGGCTGAAGCCACCGACCATGATCAATAGTACCATGCAAATATCTAAAAATCCTCTTGACAGCAAAAAGGTGAGTGGTACGGGGAGCATGCATAAACTGAGAAACCAAATGCACATCGTAAGTAATATCAGGTCGTGTCAAAGTTAAACACTGTAATGCACCTACCATACTGCGATACTCAGTCGCATCTGTGAGTAACTCGCCATCTGTAAGGGATAAGGACGTACGAGATGCAAGAGGTGTACGAACAGATTTGACAGTATGCAGGTGAAACCGTGAGAGAAGGTCAGATACATATTTGTGCTGAGAAAGAAACAGACCTGTACTACTACGAGTGGCCTGAATGCCGAGAAAATACTGAAGATCACCCAAGTCTTTCATGGCAAAGTGACGAGCAATAAGATGAATAAAGTCAGAGATAATAGAGGAAGAATTACCAGTGATGATAATATCATCCACATAGAGTAGTAAGTAAATAATAGAATCACCCTGTCGATAAATAAAGAGAGAATTGTCTGACTTACTACATAAAAAATTATGAGTAAGTAGAAAACTACTGAACCTATGAAACCATGCCTGGGGAACCTGCTTAAGGCCATAGATAGCCTTGCGCAGACGACACAAGTGATGAGGATACTGTGGGTGAATAAACCCCTTCGGCTGACGCATATATACTTCTTCTGTAAGATGACCATGAAGAAAAGCATTTTTGACATCAAGCTGACGCATAACCCACCCAAAAGAAATAGCTAAAGTAAGAACAATACGAATAGTGGTGGGCTTAATAACGGGACTGAATGTCTCAGAAAAATCTACACCAGCCTGCTGATTAAAACCCTGAGCAACTAATCATGCTTTATGGCGCTCAATAAACCCATCAGAAAGATATTTTGTCTTGTAAATCCACTTAGATCTAACAATATTCTTAGAATTATCAAATGGTACCAACTCCCAAGTATGATTAGCAATAAGTGCATTAAATTCTTCAGCCATAGCCTGACGCCATTTTATCTGTTTATTTGCCTCAGAAAAACAAGTGGGTCTGCTGAAATAACAACCGTGTTTAAAGTAAAAATGGATTTTGGTTTAAAAATTCCTGATTTGGCTCTAGTTTGCATCGGGTGGACATTTTTGGGGGAAGTCTGAGTTGAGACAGGGACTATTTCAGGGGAATGGTCACTGGTCGAAGAAAGCGGACTGGGAGGAGAATGGGAGCTAGCAGATGTGGAATGATTGTTGGGCATTGGAAGTGGGCTATTGAGAGGTATTTGGGCTGGTGTGCGGACATGGTCCGGTGGTAAGGAAATGGGAATCGGGCTAGGTGAGGAGGGAACCAGATTTTGGGTGGGGCTGGCAGGAGCGGTCGGTGAGGTGGGTGGCAGTAAGCTGGGAGAACACTGGGTTGCAGGTGTGGTGACAGGGGGCTGGGCATGGTCTGGGGGGTTGGGTACGGACTGGGGGCAGGTAGGCCGAGAGGGATGAGAGGGTGAATTGTCCCAGTTGGAGAGAAAGAAAGGGGTAGACTCATTTGTAGATGAAGAGGGTGTGGCAGGCGTAGTAGAAGTAAAAAAGATGTAGGGAAAAAGATTTTCACAAAAACCCACATGACGACTGATGTAAACCTTGCCAGTAGTAGGGTCAAAACAACGATAACCTTTATAGCCAGATGCATATCCTAGAAAGACACATTGAATGGATCTAGGAGAAAGTTTATTAGAGGATGTTGCATCGATATTTGGAAAACAGGCACACCCAAAAACGCGTAAAAGAGAATACTCGGGAGATTTTTGAAAAAGTTTTTCATAAGGAGAGAGACTAGAAAGTG